CTTTTTGCTGTGTATAACCACAGACTGTAAATGTATAACATGTTTCAGATACAGCGTCCTCCCGTGTGTTGCTTACGTAATTCAACTCATCCTTCTCTGCCCTTCACCTTTAAGTTCATTCAGCCTGTGATTAAAGCAGACAAGAGAAAAGACCTTCCCCTCCAGCACAGCAATCTGCTTTAAACTTGTCATTGACTTAAGGGTCGACCATTAAATCCAGTGAAGAAACGATTCTGTGACCTGTCCCTTCGGCTAAAGAACGAGGTTGTGCTGCGTCTGCATCCCAGAAGGAAAGTCGCTGTACGGAGTGCTGGGAGGTCACGCCCATTTTAAACTTTGGATCTATAACACAGTGGGCGACAGTGGCTCAGTTGGTAGAGCATTGGCCTTTGAGCCGTCTCCCACTGATGACTGCTGTCGTTGTGTCCTTGGGCAAGACACTTAACCCCACGTTGCCTGAAGCCCCCGCTGAAAGACCAAGGCTGTGGCACCTCTGATGGAGCAGCCATCTTCCTGTGGACCCGCCCCCTGCAGAGGATCAGAGGGACTGGTGCTGTGAGACTTGGGTGCAGCTCTCATTGTCACCCCCCGACCCAGAAATGGACGAATAAAAGGGGTTGAAAATTAATGAATGAATCTATAACACAGCAAAAAAGTGATGAAAAATAAGTCAGAAAAATAAGTCATTTTTGGCACATTGTATCGAGAGAAGGTTGATATTTAAAGGTAAATTCCAAATTGATGAAAAATAAAAGAGATGGGGACAAAAATGGTAAAAAAAAAAAAAAAGTAATCATTGCTTAAATCTAGTTTATATTTGAGTAAATTCTGACTGCCTCAAAACGAGATTTGCCAACGGGACAAGCACAACCCTAACCTTAAGAAATGTGACCACTCTCTTCAAGCCCTCATTGCTCTTATATGTTCTCATTTTTTGCAGTGACGGCTTGATTGTGTCGTGGAAGTGGTCATTTCCTGTCGTGATTCAGTCCAGCGTTTTTGGAGGAAGCCCGCCCCGACCACAGCGCCCAGTCTGAAATGCACACCGCTTCCTGAGACACACTATTGTCCATTCTGTCTCTATCAACGACCTTTTTTATAGATACATGCTTTTTCGTCTCATCCACATTCGCCCAATCACGAGAATGTATCCAAACGTTAGTGTTGGCTGCGGCTGACGTAGTAAATCAAAAAGCAAAACGACGGCAGAGAAGGGAGGCCGGTCTAGGACTTACCCGGTCTGATGTGGTCACAGCCAGGAGCGAGGGGTTTGTCGTCACCGTCTGTCAAACCCAGAAGAGAGAGAGAGACGTCAAATAAAGTTAAAGCTACACAACTTTTAGCTTGTCAATTCTTTTACATAAACTTTAACCGCTCACACAGACCTGAGAAAGTAAAGATTGGATGAGAATATACTACAGAGATATTCGAAAAAAAACTGCTTTATGCTTTTATTCTGTGGGACGAGTACAGGACCGTCTTTATGCCTGTCATGATTGCAGCTATCAGCACTCGTAGAGCACAGACCTCCGCCAAGAGGCACAGTTCCATTGCTTAAGGGGAAGTCTAGCCTTCGCGATGGGACTCGAACGGCAACACAATCATACAACCACTACAACAAGATTCTCCCTTTAATCAAAACACCAGATCACATCAGACCTCGTAAGCTAAGCAGGACATGGCCTGGTTAGTGCTGTGATGGGAGACCTCTGGGAACAGCAGGTGCCACAGTGGGGCGGCTGTAAAAGGCCACACTGTGGTTGTGTCCTTAGACAAGACACTTCACCCACATTGCCTAGAATCTGGTGTGTGTGTGAGTGGTTGGTGGGAGGGGCCGATGGCACAGACTGGTTGCCTCGCTTCTGTCCGTGTGCCCCAGGGCAGCTGTGGCTACAGTAGTAGTTTATCACCACCGTGTTTGGAAATGGAAATAATGACATGTGAAACTTTGAGTGTCCAAAAAGCGCTGCATTAAATCAATTTCTTGTTATTGTAGTTACTGAATATGCACAATTTTAACCAGTATTTATTTGTGTAGAACTTGCTTTGCCGTGACTTTCGGCTTTTTCCTGCTCCAGTGTCTTCGTCACGAGCCATTATTACTGACCACAAACGCCGTGGACGCCTTCCCCTGGACATGACTGCTCTGTATTTGCTGAACAGACAGATACATTATAGTCCAGCCCAGAGCACTTCCCAGGCATCCCACAGAAGTTATTTCAGAGCATTGTGGACATAAGCGACTGTCACACGATCAAATGCTCTTCATTCTCAAGTGGGGGCTCGGCGCAGACAGATATTTTAAGCATTCCCAGTCTGTTTCATACATTATCGGTTCGGTAATGCGGGAGAGAAACCACTGAACTGGAAAAAAGGCAGGCTCAAAAGCAGAGATGTGGCCAGATGTGATGCGACAGGTTGAGACTGTGACCACACTAAAGGCAGCTTGTAATATTGTTGTTGTAGAAATGGCTTTACAACCTGTCAGCTGGTGAAGGAGCGGATCGAAAACACGCAGAGTGGATGTTCCTGTCACGTTCATTTAGTCTCAGCTTGACCACGACAGAGAGATGCAGATGTTAAATAAATGCCAACGCTCAGACACTTGGTTTCCAGTGTAACGTGTCATGTTTGTTAGCTGTAGCTGAGAAGTCATATTAACCAGTGAAGGAATGCACACTGCAAAAAAATTTTTAAAAAAGGAGTGGGTTTTATCTTAATCTGAGTACATTCTGACTGTCTTAACAAAATTTGCCAATGGGACAAATTTGCCAACGGAAGTTCCTATTCCAACACACCGTCTTACTTGCAAATTAAACAATTATTTATTAGAAGTGCGATGTTTCGGCATTATGCCTTTATCAAGCCAATATGGTGATGCGTTGTTCCTATTGTAACGACACATCATCAGCAGGGTAACACTAGCCTGGTCGTACCACACCACAGTACAAATTACATTTATACTAAGGTCTGGATTGTCTCCATTGACTCCGTGAACAGGTGGGAGGGGTTAACTCCTTTTACAGATTGAAACCATTGGATCCGAGTTTACTGTGACGTATGTAATGAGCCCGAGTGAGTCGTTAGCATTTAGCATTTAGCCTAGCTTTATCCAACTCCTTTGCCGCTAACGGAGCCCGTGGGGAGTAGCGCCACAATCTTTGCAGCGATCACATTTGCTAAACATTATTCTTGCTCCGGCTTCAGTTTCTTGACAGAACCAGACCAGAATACTTTACTATCACATTCTTCGTCAAACTACGACCTTCCCGTTCGACGCAAACTCTTGACGTCACCCACATCTAACAACAACACCCGCCTCCCGCGCTCTCTGATTGGTCGGATGTAATTCAACCGATTGTAATCACAAACACAAGGACCAGACCCAGACGTTACAGCAGGACCTGATGATTGAGCGGAGAGTATGGATGGATAAGACCAGGGTAGGGTAACACTAACCTGTCTCACGACGGTCTAATCCCAGCACACGTTCCCCTCTAGTGGGTGAACAATCCAATTATGATACATTTTGCCAAATTGGAAACATTCTTGGCTCGTTTTTCATCACTTTTTGCAGTGTACTACCTCAAAGATTTCTCGTATTCTGTGTCTGTGGAAAAAAGCAAGAAAGAAGAACCTAACCTCCACTGGCTTTGTTTTTGGAGCCAGTTCTTAACAAAGGAGAGGAAATATAAACAAAAGTGAAGAGACCAAATCCAAAAGTCAAAACCTAAATCTCCACAGAGATATTTGACGATGCAGAGGAAAGAAAAAATATTGTAATTGTTTCATGTTAAGATTGTATGAGTTCCAAACGCAGTCCGTCTGAAATGCTATGATTTCAGCAAATTTCAAAGTCTTGTTGAAATCTACTTTTACCAAATCTCTTTAATGCTGTCGAAATGTTTTTGTTCATCTGGTTATTTTCATCCACAGCTGGGACCCTCTCCTGAAAATGACTTTTTTTAAAGGTCGATATTTCATGTAGGCAGCACCATGAGCCAGAGCCAGACTCTGTAGCCACCAGATGTTATCATAAATTTAACACAACACTGTACAACCAACACGCTTTCATTATCACACACATGAAGTGTAATGACAGAAGCGAGTCCAGAACACACTGGACCATCATTCACTCTCTCATTTACATTCAGACCTATTGTGCATGTTTTTAGTGGTAGGGGAAACCGGAGCACCCGGAGGAAACCTACGCAGACACAGGGAGAACACGCAAACTCCAATCAGAAAGGCCTTTTTCTGACCGGGATTCGAACCCAGGACCTTCTTGCTGAGAAGCAAGAGTGCTAACCACTCAGCCACCATGCCGCCCGTGAATGACCACAACATTGTATTACTGTGATAAACATTTGAGATTTAAAGTAACATTCTGAGACAGAAACAGAAGCTCCTTCTAAAAAAAGCCACAGTCTGTTTGGAACACTGACCTCCTGCAAACGTAACCTTTTGAGTAAATCCCAGCCCTGTCTGTTCCACACCAACACAAAGCTCATTGTCTAATCTTGAACAAATGGGATCCCAGCGTGTCGCCCTCAACAAGAGAAAGCCCTATAAAACACAGCATGGGTTCACGGCCAAAGCCTCAGTGCTTCTCTGGATCCAAGCTGCGGCGCATTCCCTTTTAATGGAACACACTCGATGGCAATGGAAGCTGGACACACACAGATCTGGAGTCGGCAGTCAATCAAAGGGAAGGTTTTGGCAACACAAGACACCCACAATCTCCCGACAACAACATTCACAAACTCAGGAAACCTTGCATTTCGTTCTGAATGATTGACGTATCAAGATTCAGCGAGATGGCGCTGGGTCGGCTGGCTGCCGTCGTACCTGTCCCTGCAGTTTTTATTTGTGTTAAAGTTTTCATCTCACTGGCACGTCCTGCACAGTGTCTTATCACATACGATCGAGAGACACTATACTATCGAAGCAATCAACACTTGGCCCAGTGACGAGGAGCACACAACACTTGGATCGTCTCCTCAAGACCCACAACAGGAGCGGTACACAACACTCCTCAAGACCCACACTGAGAGGCTGAGGAGGAGGTACACAACACTCCTCAAGACCCACACTGAGAGGCTGAGGAGGAGGTACACAACACTCCTCAAGACCCACACTGAGAGGCTGAGGAGGAGGTACACAACACTCCTCAAGACCCACATTGAGAGGCTGAGGAGGAGGTACACAACACTCCTCAAGACCCACACTGAGAGGCTGAGGAGGAGGTACACAACACTCCTCAAGACCCACACTGAGAGGCTGAGGAGGAGGTACACAACATTCCTCAAGACCCACACTGAGAGGCTGAGGAGGAGGTACACAACACTCCTCAAGACCCACACTGAGAGGCTGAGGAGGAGGTACACAACACTCCTCAAGACCCACACTGAGAGGCTGAGGAGGAGGTACACAACACTCCTCAAGACCCACACTGAGAGGCTGAGGAGGAGGTACACAACACTCCTCAAGACCCACACTGAGAGGCTGAGGAGGAGGTACACAACACTCCTCAAGACCCACACTGAGAGGCTGAGGAGGAGGTACACAACACTCCTCAAGACCCACACTGAGAGGCTGAGGAGGAGGTACACAATACTCCTCAAGACCCACACTGAGAGGCTGAGGAGGAGGTACACAACACTCCTCAAGACCCACACTGAGAGGCTGAGGAGGAGGTACACAACACTCCTCAAGACCCACACTGAGAGGCTGAGGAGGAGGTACACAACACTCCTCAAGACCCACATTGAGAGGCTGAGGAGGAGGTACACAACACTCCTCAAGACCCACACTGAGAGGCTGAGGAGGAGGTACACAACACTCCTCAAGACCCACACTGAGAGGCTGAGGAGGAGGTACACAACACTCCTCAAGACCTACACTGAGAGGCTGAGGAGGAGGTACACAACACTCCTCAAGACCCACACTGAGAGGCTGAGGAGGAGGTACACAACACTCCTCAAGACCCACACTGAGAGGCTGAGGAGGAGTTTCTTTCCTGAAGCCATAAAACCACTAAACTGAGCCTAACTCTGTCTCTGTGATTCTGTTTGTGTGTGTTCCGAATACTGTACTGAACATCTGCTGGATGTAATGTGTATGTCACAAACTATAAACTAAACTAAGATACCATCACATAACTATTAGAAGATGCAGAAGAAAATATTGCAATACTGAACAGAACTGATTTTATCCCCCACCACTAACTAATCAGAATCAGAATCAGAATCAGAATCATTTTTATTGCCAACGTAAGTAACGGGAGGTCACAGACTTGGAAATTGCTTTGGCTCAGTGCAACAGTCAAAAAGAGATAATAAAAATAAGAATAAAAAACACTTCTAAAGAATAAATTTAAATTTAAAATAGAGTTACAGTTACTATTTACAATATACAAGTGCACATGGTGCACACAATGTAAGGTGACAGCAGTACAGTGAAGTAAAGTGACGTATGATGGGCAGTAAAGTGACTTTATAAAGGGCGGGGGGACAGGTTAAGAAGTGTTCAAGAGTCCAACAGCAGAGGGGAAGAAACTGTTCTTGTGGCGGGAGGTTCTAGTCCTGATGGACCGCAGCCTCCTGCCTGAGGGGAGTGGTTGGAATAGTCCATGTGCAGGGTGAGAGGGGTCGGCTGTGATACGACCAGCCCGGCCTCGAGCTCGGGCGACGTACAGGTCCTGCAGCGATGGAAGGCTGCGGCCGATCACTTCCTCTGCAGAGCGCACAATGCGCTGTAGTCTCTGTTTGTCCCTGACTGTGGCTCCAGCGAACCACACGGTGATGGAGGAGGTGAGGATGGACTCGATGATGGCCGTGTAGAACTGCACCAACATCTGTGCAGGCAGCTTGGCTTTCCTGAGCTGCCGCAGGAAGTACATCCTCTGCTGGGCCTTCTTGATGAGGGAGCTGATGGTCGGCTCCCACTTGAGGTCCTGGGTGATGGTGGTGCCCAGGAAACGGAAGGACTCCACAGAGGTGATGGGGGAGTCCATCACGGAGGGTGGGGGCGGGGGGACAGTGCTCTTCCTGAAGTCCACAATCATCTCCACTGTCTTCTGGGCGTTCAGCTCCAGGTTGTTACCACTGCACCAGGACACCAGCCGGTCCACCTCCCTCCTGTAGGCGGACTCATCGTTGTTGGAGATGAGTCCAATGAGGGTGGTGTCGTCCGCGAACTTGATCAGCTTCACGGAGTCGTGGCTGGAGGTGCAGTGGTTGGTGTACAGGGAGAAGAGCAGGGGAGAAAGAACACAGCCCTGTGGGGCTCCTGTATTTATAATCCGAGAGTCCGAGACATTCTTCCCCAGACGCACTCGCTGCTTCCTGTCCGTCAGGAAGTCAGTGATCCACCTGCAGGTGGAATCGGGCACGTTGAGCTGGGAGAGCTTGTCCTGGAGCAGGGATGGCAGGATTGTGTTGAAGGCAGAGCTGAAGTCCACGAACAGGACCCTGGCGTAGGTCCCCGGGGAGTCCAGGTGCTGTAGGATGTGGTGGAGGGCCAGGTTAATGGCGTCGTCTACAGATCTGTTGGCTCTGTAGGCGAACTGCAGGGGGTCCAGGAGGGGGGAGGTGAGGGACTTGAGATGGGAGAGAACCAGGCGTTCAAATGACTTCATGACGACAGACGTAAGTGCTACAGGTCTGTAGTCATTGAGTCCTGTGATCCTGGGCTTCTTCGGGACGGGGACAATGATGGAGGATTTGAAGCAGGCCGGGACATGGCAGGACTGCAGAGAGGTGTTGAAAATGTCCGTGAACACAGGAGTAAGCTCACTGGCGCAGTGTCTCAGAGTGGCCGGAGACACGTGGTCCGGGCCAGGAGCTTTGCGGGGGTGCAGCCTCAGGAAGAGTTGTTTAATCTCTTTAGCGGCTATTGTTAGGCTGGGGGTAGGGCTGATGGGTGGGTCGTTAGAGTAGTGGGGGGTGGGGGAGGGAGAGGTGTCAGGGGCAGCATCAAAGCGACTGAAAAATAAGTTCAGATCGTCAGCTAGCTTGTGGTCATCAGCACAGGGGGGGGCTTTGGGTTTGTAGTTGGTGATCTCCCGTAGGCCCCTCCAGACAGAAGCAGTATCGTTGTTACCAAACTGCTCCTGTAGTCGTTCTCTGTGCCGGGACTTGGCTGCTTTCAGTTCTTTCCTGAACTGATATTTAGCTGCTTTGTAGCCGCTGCGGTCCCCCTCCCTGAAAGCAGACTCCTTTGCTTTCCTGAGCTGCCGGAGTTTAGCAGTGAACCAGGGTTTGTCGTTGTTATAGATGACCCTGGTCCTTGTTGGAATGATGCTATCCTCACAGAAGTGGATGTATGACGTCACAGTGTCCGTATATTCATCCAAGCTGTCTGTGGCAGCTCTGAAAAGGTCCCAGTCTGTAGATTCCATGCATGCGCGCAGCTCTTCCACAGCTTCATCAGACCACACTTTGGAGCTCCTCACTGCAGGTTTCGAGAGCTTTAGTCTCTGTCTGTAAGCAGGAACCAGATGTATCATGGAGTGATCTGAGAAGCCGAGGGCTGGCTTGGGAACAGCGCGAAAAGCTCCGCGCACGGTGGTGTAACAGTGATCCAGAGTGTTCTCCTCTCTGGTCGGGCATTTGATAAACTGTCTGTATTTGGGTAATTCCTGGCTCAAGTTTCCCTTATTAAAATCCCCCAGGATAATAATCAGAGAGTCCGGGTATAAGCGTTCCATACACAGTACTTGCTCTGCGAGTGCGCGCTGAGCCTCGCGCGCGTCCGCGCATGGCGGTATGTAAACAGAGGCAAGAATGAATGAAACAATTTCCCGCGGGGAGTAATATGGTTTACAATGAATGAAAAGATATTCCAGAGCAGGAGAGCAGTGCTTGGAGATCACTGTCACATCGTTACACCAGTTTGTATTGACGTAGAAACAGAGCCCTCCGCCTCTGCTCTTCCCTGAGAGCGCACAATGGCGATCCGCGCGAAACAGCCCAAAGCCCTGCAGCTCCAGAGCGCAGTCCGGGATCCGCTCATTTAGCCAGGTCTCAGTGAAGCAGAGGACACAGGATGTGGCGAAGTCCTTGTTTCTTCTCATGAGCAGGCTGAGTTCGTCCATCTTATTGCCCAGTGAGCGTACGTTGGAGAGAAAAATGCCGGGGAGAGCCGTGCGCGCTCCTCTCCTCCTAAGACGCACGAGCAGGCCTCCTCGCTTTCCCCTTTTACGGGCCCAACTAGGGGTGGGCGATATATATTATAGACGATAATATCACAAAAGTTAATTTTAAGATATGACAATAATGCGAAAAAGCATTTATTTTTTTGCCCATTCGTCAAATGCGTGCCTAAAAAGTCAACCACTGCTTTCTTTGTATTTCAGTGAATATTGGATGTGTTCTTCCTGTGTTACTTGAATTTGATTTTTAATGTTAATATAAGTGTGTGCATGTTTTGGAAAGATGTTTTACCATTAAAAAGCTGCTATTTTGGTATCCATCTGTATTCTCTGTCTGCTTTGTGCAGAGTTAAGGAGGATGGGGGAAGACAAGGTGTGGGGTTAGGTTGGGTCACGCTGCTTAAAGGGGAAACTCAAACCCTTCCCAACCCCAGTTTAAAATAACAAGCCAGTGTTGTACTCCGGGGCATGGAGACGATTCAGAATCCTGGTGCTATAGAGCAAGGCTGTAGTAAACTCAAGAATAATGCGGCGGCCCGATGTGACAGCGCTGACACAGGCTAATTTCTGCTCTGCGAGGTAGCGGCGCACCAAAGCAGTCATCTGTAACTCATTACACACCTCCCAGGAGTCGTGACCTCCATGCAGCAATGTAGCCAACTGAGAAAACATGAGCCAGAGAAAGTGCTTGGGTAGAAGGGGACTAAAAGCTGGCCATTTCATATGTCAAATCAGAATTAACTGATATACAAGTCAAAGCCAGAGGTAATGGACTGAAATGCACTTGAATCAACAATGAAACAGTCTCCAAATATATATATATACGTTTATATACGACCCATGTCATCTGCTCCCACTGATGTCGATGTGTCCCTGGGCAAGACACTTAACCCCACATTGCCTGAAGCCCCCGCTGAAGGACCACGGCCAATGTTTTTGATCACGGAGCAGCCATCTTCCATGAGACTTGGGTGGCAGCTCTGATTGTCACCCCCTCGACCCAGAAAAGGGTAGACGATTGGATTTGACCAACCCCCAATCAAAGAGTCTAATTAAAGTTGGTTAAACAGCTAAAGCAGAACACATACTAAAACATCTCAGCGCTGTACAGGCTTCTCTCTCTGTAATATATCAACTCGCTGCACAAAGGGGAACATAATTAAATACACAGTAAACATTTGACTTGGTTTTGAACATCTGTGTCACAGCTTGGATCCCAACACGACGTCTCAACAACAGCCAGATCTGTTGGTTTACTTAAACAGGACATACCGTTCTAAACTTTTATTTGTCTTAATATGTTAATAGGACAAAAATACGTCTTAATTTTAGCACATTTCTTAGAACAAGATTGGCCAATGGGACAAGAGACAATATCGTGTTTTTAAAAAGATACAAGAAATGTCTCCCTTAGAATGAGAAAATGAAGCAATAGTTCTAGAAATCAATCAAATCTTGTTTTAAGACAGAATGTCTATATACTATATTATCGGGCGACAGTAGCTCAGTTGGTAGAGCATTGGCCTTTAGGCCAGAAGGTCGTGGGTTCAATTCCCACCTCTACACCTTCTCCACCGACTCCCACTGATGACTGCTGTCGTTGTGTCCTTGGGCAAGACACTTAACCCCACTTTGCCCAAAGCCCCCACTGAAAGATCAAGGCTATGCTCACAGTCAGAGAGCAGCCGTCCTCCTGTGGACTCACCACCTGCAGAGGGTCAGTGAGGGGCTGGTGCTATGAGACTTGGGTGGCATCTCTGACTGCCACCCCCCTGACCCAGAAATGGATTAAAGGGTAGAAAATGGATGGATGGATGGATAGTATTGCGATAACGATATTATTGCGATAATTTTTGTCTTTCACTTGAAATTGCATCAAAACGCAAGAGAAAAAAACACAACATTAATGACATTCAAATGCAAATATTTATATACTTTTTTGTTTGTTGTTGTTGTTGTTGTTGCTGTGTCTGTTTTGGTGTCTTTTATAAAAGGAGAAAAAGGGATATTTTTTTGTATTATCGGGGATATTTTCGATATGGATACTGCACGCACCAATATCGCGATAACGATATTTTTTTGATATATTGTGCAGCCCTATTTATCAGCGCATCATGAATCTGGTACGAGAGACGATTGCAAACAGGAAGCAGGGCACACGGACCATCGACAGAGACGAGGGGGCCTTCTCCTTACCTCACACTTGGAACTCACATCTCGTCGTGACTACTTTTTACATATAACTACTTTTTAGTATTCATGCTTATCGGCATCTTGATATGCGATACCTGTGAGGGGCTGGATCATCTCGAATACGAATAAGAAGTGCTCACTGAAACACAATATTGAGCTAAAATAGTAAGAGATAAGAGAAAGAATTGTGAGCCTTTCTGTATCCAGTCCTGCCGTATGGATCTGTGCTCAGCCCCTGGAGTCACATCAAAGACCTCCGCCGTGGATCAAGATAAGATAAGATAAACCTTTATTAGTCTCACAGTGGAGACATTTCAGTGTCATCGTTGCACATTACAGCAGAGAAAGGAAATAAGAGCACTCAGATTGCACACATCAAAGTCTATTATTTAAGATAATAGACAATAAATTTAAGATAAAATAAAATAAAATAAGAAAATCTGGGCTACAATTGCACTTGGTTCGGAGTATTTACAGATGTCTATATTATACATCAGCAGCGGAGAATATGAGAATATGAGCAGAGTAAACATCAGAAATAATATCAACAAGTAAAGTGACTTGAATGGGAGAATTATCAGATGGATATGAATAATACAGTAAGATAAACAGGTAAAGTGACGGTGGAAGGCAGAATTATCAGATATGAAATAATACAGTAGTACTGATAACAGTAAATATCAGATATGTAGTACTGTAGTAGTACTGATAACAGTAAATATCAGATATGTAGTACTGTAGTAGTACTGATAACAGTAAATATCAGATATGTAGTACTGTAGTAGTACTGATAACAGTAAATATCAGATATGTAGTACTGTAGTAGTACTGATAACAGGTAAAGTGACTAGTGACAAAGTTACTAGTGAATTATCAGTGACACTTGTGCAGACTCAGCAGTTCCTGTTACACATTCTCGTTGTACAGTCTGACAGCAGCAGGAAGGAAAGACCTGATGCAGACAGGTTTTTCCTTTGAGCCAAAATAATGCAAGGCCGACCAACGATCCACATATCACACAAAAGTCAAACATGGATGAATCTCTCTAGAAATCAACTGTGAGTGTGAAGGGCAAAGAAAACAGTCTCTGCTGGTAATAAACGAGATGTAGAACAGGCAGCAGGACTTTGGGATGAGTCAAAGAAATGTGGATATGAATAAGTTACTTATGAAGCAACTTAGACGATGATTGAAATTGGACTTTGAAAATAATAGGAGAAAGCTGGTGATATTTTAGCATTTGATGAAGGCTAAAAAGTTGCAGCAAAATACGAAAAAAGAGAAGAGGGAGTTGGAGATGTTATACTAGCTTCTTTATTATGCTAAAGCTAGAGATGTTATACTAGCTTCTTTATTATGCTAAAGCTAGAGATTTTATACTAGCTTCTTTATTATGCTAAAGATAGAGATTTTATTTTATTGTAGAACAGACGTATAGTTCATTTATCTTGTGCTGTGTGCTCCTCATTTCTGTATTTGGCGATCATGTCATGTGATTGTCTTCCCCTTTATGAATCCATTTCTGGGTGTGGGGGGTGGCAGCTCTTGCTCATAGCACCGGTCCTAATTCGGCGATGCAACACTGAATTTTCCCACTGTGGGACGAATAAAAGATCCCCTAATCTTGCCCTTTATAGCAGTCGATAAACTTTAAAATTAATCATTGTACACCATTTCAATATTAACCCACCAATCGAGAGTATTAGCCAAAAAAACAAAAAATCATGGACAGCTGTCTGTATTCCCCACAACTAGCACTAATTTTGGACCCAGAGAAATACTCCCGTTCTGTTTTATTGCTGGGAAATGTTTTCAAAATAGTCCTAAAATAACCTTTTTGGAGAAGGACTTACTGGATGACCTAAATGAGAACGGGAGACATACTAATGGCAAAGTGCAACCACAGAAAGTCACCAAAACCATGACGTACAAAAGACCTGCCCGACTCCACCACAAAAGTAATCTCTGGAGACAGAACCATGGAGACAGAACCATGGAGACAGAACCATGGGCAGCTGCGGAACACATTTGACAGAAGAACTATTGAGTAAAGATTGGAAGTGGTTCAGAAAAGTCGTGTCTTCGATAATTATACGTTTCGTGCGGTAGTCGTTAGAGCTTAAAAACATACATGTCATCAGTTGATCTATGGAACGGTCTACACAACTATTAAAGCATTTAGAAAAAAGTACAAGTTCAACATTTTGGAGAAGTATGGACCAGTTGAATTGGATTATGCGTCGCCATTTTGGTCGTTGAAGTGCTGTCTGCGTGGATAGCACTCTCGCTTCTCAGCAAGAAAAACCCAGGTTCGAATCCCGGTCGGAACAGGGCCTTTCTGAGCGGAGATTGCATGTTCTCCCTGTGTCTGCGTAGGGTTCCTCCTCCCCTGAATGGAAGGTGGAAGGTGTTGGTCGGAGGCTTTGAGGCTCACTGTGTTCTGCGTCTCTCTTCCGGAACTCTGAACACTGTAAGTCGCTTTGCGTGACGGTGGTCTGTAAAAATGCGCTTTATGAATGAAAGATTTCTTACTGACATGTTACCATTGTCGGTAAAGGAGAAACTGTAGAAAGTGTCATCTTGAGTTTGATCATGCATAACATATTTTTGATTGTTGGGCCAAATGTTACCATGGTTGGTATGTGAGAAACTGTAGAAAGAAATAGGGCTAAGGCAGGATAAGTCTAAACCTGCAGTCAGGCATCATTTAGCACTACAACTCTTAATATACACAATTTACTTACTTTTTTTCTTATTGTAATTCTTTGAAAAAAAATCAAGATCTAATGTTCATAATGAATTAAACTACTATTACCATCACAAAGGGAGAAATCCTGGTGTTTTGAGAGAAAACGGTTTGTGCATCAGTTGGAAAATCAATCTGCGTAGCTACACTTCATCAGTCGGTAAAGCCATGGGGATTTTGTATTTATTATTTTGTATACGCAGGCATAAACCTGCGAGGAGGGAAAGGAGGGAAACCACCTCTCCTTTCCCTGAAGAAGTCCGCTAGTTTGAGGACGAAACACCGGGAAAACTTGCTAAGAAGTACAGATGATGGGTGAGAAACCTGCCTTTGCTTTGACTAATACCTGTACGACTGAGGGCTTACACAAACTTATACGCAGGCATGATTTAGTCTTTTATAAGGTTAATGTGTTTGCGCAATGCCTCGATGGTTTTATGGTTTATGCTAAAAAGGGGGTGTGAAAGTTCTGCCAGTTTCACACACCCTGAAATAGCGCTTCTGTTTCACCACAGTTGAGTGCAAACAAAATAAAAACAAGAAAATTACATACTTTGACAGGAACAGTTTGCAGACTTCCTATAAAAAGGTTATGAAAAGAAAACCTCCCTGCATCGTCACCAAAATAATGGTAAGATGTTTGTATTGTCGGCAGGTATTCCAATACTTTTGATATCAAAGTCTTGGAGGTACAGCTGATTTCAT